ACAAGTGGAAAAAATTCTAGACACAATGGTAAAAAACTTTATCACTTTTATTGACAATTTCCATGCAAAACAAAGTCAAACGAATGGTATTCGGTATGGTAATTTATTATTATTTTTTTTACAATTGGAACAAATTCTAGATCCAATGGTAAAAAAAATTATCACTTTAATGTACAATTTTCATGAAAAACGAATCCAAATGGACACCAAACTTTCATCATTTTTCAGGTGGAAAATTATACCAATCAAACACAATTAATTACAATTCTCAGTAAAACAAATTTTAGACAATTCAATTCCCTATAATTCATTTTCTTTCCACCCAAATTCCACATTTGCAATCAAACGGACCATTAGTTCATTCAAGAAAGTATATTGTACCATGAGAAAAAATTTGATTGTGAATTATGAATATCAATTACTAATTTAATTATTCCCATGCTTTTTCATGTGTAGATTTACATGTCATAAAAAAGATTTAGGGTCCGTTTAATAGGCAAATGTGGAAAAGAATTCTAATTCCAAATTTACCAAACTTATAGGAATTCGTTTTCCATGAAAACAAAGAAAATGCAACTTAAAATAGTTATATCATGAAATTCGGTGTCTATTTCCACGTTGTAATCAAACAGTTAAAGTAGAATTCGTTTTCCTCATATATGACATTTTTCATGAAATTCGTTGCAATCAAACATGGCATTAGCTCACAAAATATTTCCATTTCACAGTTTTGTTATCCTGGACTTTAATGTAGTTTTAATTATCAGAATTCTTGAATACTTAATTGCTCTAAGACCATATTTCATAACAATTACCTCATTTTAAAACTGAATAAATTAAACTTTTGTGTATATAATTTTTTTAACAGGAGGACTACGCTCGTCCTGCTAGGTGTCTATGCCATTGGGTTAGCTAAATTTGGTGTGTCCATTCCTATCGTGTACAAATGCCTTCTTATTCTCATTTTTAATGCCCCACGCCGAGGGAAAATCCTTCATGGGCGGACGAGTGACATTTAGAATATTTGTCGTCAAGTGTTCAAATCAGTGTTACTGATTACTTCATTCGAAATTGAGGTTGAAAAGTCATGCCAGCAAATTCTGCCCAATAAAACTGTAGGTCAAAACGAATACTACAATATATTGTGCATTTTTATGTACTTTTCTAGAAAAGAATCATTTTACACACAGAAAAGGAAAATAATAATAATTTATTACTTTTTCTGATGTTGAAAGAAATTAATCAAATATTAGACTGTGTACGTAACATGAAAATGATCGCACATGACATGCATGTCTATATCATAAATAAAGATTTAACATTCATCGACGAAATCATTTGAACTGCAAAAGAAAAATGGCTGGCAAGAAATTTCAATCTGAAGCCTTTTTCTTGTTCTTATTTCTTCTCCCATATATCGCAGTATTTTGTAATTCACTCCCTCTTTCGACAAGTTCAAGATGGATTGTGGATCAAGCAACTGGAAAAAGAGTAAAATTAGCCTGTGTGAACTGGGTTTCCCATCTGCAGCCTATGATTGCAGAAGGGCTTGACAAAAAACCCTTGAAATATATTGCTGGGAAGGTGAGTTCAATGGGGTTTAATTGTGTGCGTTTCACATGGGCTACTTATATGTTCACAAGGGCAAATTATAGTAAGATCACAGTTTCGCAATCACTTGATAATTTTGGGTTGAAAGATGCAAAGGCTGGGATTGCAAGGAATAATCCTCAGGTGTTGTGTTTGAGTGTAGTGGATCTGCATAAGGCTGTGGTTAATGAGCTTGGGAAGAATAATATAATGGTGGTGCTGGATAACCATGTTAGCCAGCCAAAGTGGTGCTGTTCTGATAATGATGGCAATGGGTTCTTTGGAGATGTTAACTTTGATCCCAAGGAATGGTTACAAGGGTTGAGTATAGTAGCAAGAACCTACAAGGATAATCCCACGGTAAGTACGTTGATAGTTTTTCTATTATCTTGTCCAATATACTGTACCAGTCGAGGGAACTGACCATAACTAGAGTATGCGTTCATTTATTTGTAGGTCGTAGCTATGAGCATGAGAAATGAGCTTCGAGGTGCACTTCAGAGTAAGGACGATTGGCGATTGTACATGGAAGAGGGTGCCACTACTATTCATAGAGAAAACCCAAATGTTCTCATCATTGTCTCAGGGTTAAACTTCGATACAAACCTTGAATTTCTCAAGACAAAGCCATTTCGAGTTAATTTTAATGACAAGTTGGTTTTCGAAGCACATTGGTACGCATTTTCCATCCCGAGAGAAAAATGGATAGCTCAGAGTAACAATATATGTGCATATATTACTCGAAATGCTAAAAATAATTATCTTTTTCTAATTAGAGGCAACAATCCATTTCCACTTTTTTTGAGTGAATTTGGCATTGATCAAAGGGGTGTCAATGAGGCAGACAATAGATATATAAGTTGCTTGTTGGCAACTGCAGCAGAATATGATATTGACTGGGCATTATGGGCTTTACAAGGTAGCTACATTTTAAGAGAGGGCAAGGCTAACCATGATGAAGTTTATGGGTTACTTGATATTAATTGGGACGATGCAAACAATTCATCTTTTCTAGAGAAGCTGCAACTGATAAAACAGATCAATCAAGGTACGCGACCCTAGGAATTTTTTCTTAACTTCCAAGAAATTGACTTGGATCATGCACATCCAGTATGTAATACTAGATAATGATGTCAAATACTGTCTAGTACCCATTAGGAAATAAGTGGCAATTGTTTGATTTGTGCAGATGTAGTGCCAAATCATCCAACCTACTATTTACTGTACCATCCACTGAGTGGCCAGTGTGTGAAGTTCTGCAAAACTGTTTATCTAACCAACTGCAAGACTGCGAGCCGATTTGATCAACATCAAGATGGTGGACCGATCAAACTGGCCGGGCCATCCCAGTGTCTCGGGGTTGTGGGCGAAGGTGTTGGTGCCAGGGCCTCAAATGATTGTTCGAGCAAGTGGAGGTCCGTTTCAAGCTCCAAGCTTCATTTGGCTGCACCAAGTGGGCCGGGCAAATTCCTGTGCTTGGAAAAGAATGATGCTGATTCCACTATTGTGACTAAGAAATGTTTGTGTATGGGGGACAATCTTCAAAATGCTCCTAGTTGTCCTCAAAATCCAGAAATTCAATGGTTTAAACTTGTTCCTGTAAATGTCTAGTAGGAATCAGGATTGACTCGAACTTCATCTGTGTTTGGATGAAAATTAAGGATGTTTATGCCATATCTTTACATATGTCATCTATTAAGATCTCATTAATTATGTTAGAGTTATAGGCGAGCCTTTTATACATCTTCGATTTTTAATGTCTTTAATGTCATATCATATGATCATCGTTTCTAGTAAGATGAATAACCTTACTAGCCATCCTATCAGTTCTTATGCACCAAACACTGACCTTCCACTTTGGGGTCCATTAATTCGATTACCGTTTACCGAGTCCAGAAATCGACGAATTAAAAATCAGATGAAGTGTCCTAGCTCTGTCTAAACACCAGAAAGGGAGAAACTCCACAACAAAGCCAAAAATTTCATTCACTAATATTTTCAAGTGATGAGTTGTGATTTTTTATCATACAAGTGAATAGATCGTTACAAATAGTAAAGTCACGAGTAAAGTATCATCCCACGAAGATTAATTATGTTCCTTGTCATCTTGTTATAACCATCAAGCAATACCATCTTCATAGGAGATATTCATTATCCTTGTTTGACTTTAGTCGACATGATAGTCTGGTTAAAAATATGTTTTTACTCTCTTTAGAAGTCTCGTGTGCAATCTGTAACATCGGAGAGTAAAATCATAAAGTTATGTTTAGGATAAGTATCATGTAAGTTATATACATTCATTACACAAAGAATATGTCACATTAGAACCTTCCTAGAAAAAAATCATGTGTGAAAAATCCTAGTTAAAAGAAGAGTATATTAGTCTTTCAAAGACGCTATGAAAATTGTGTCTTTTCGGGAAAATCTAGTGGAACAAAATATCGATCAATGAAAAAATTATACTACGCGAATCTATTTTCCTCAATGATAATATCACTTGAATTCTTGAAATATATGATTTATGCATATTAAATCCTTTTGTGATAATATTAGTAGTTAGGACAGATAAATTGGTTAGACTTACATTTATTATATGCTTATTAAATTTGATGTAATGCTGGCTAACAAGATATCAACTTATATTGTATTTTGCACATGAAAATTTATTTATTTATATAAGTTTTTTGCGAAAATTATTATGTTAAGAATCGTGCATTATATATGCCGATTTCATATTCTCATAAGTAATATTGACTTTACTCAATTAGGTGTTCGGACTGCATATCCAAAAATTTCAAGTTTCTAGTAATTTTTCATGATTTAATTTTGGCCATCATTTTTACGTCGATATTCTTCAACCGATTTTCATCACTATTCTTACTATCATTTATAATATGAAGTGTTACATTATGTACGAAAGTGTGTAAATAAACTTTTTCTTTCGATTTCATTTCTTTCCCCATAACTACACAACTTATTGAGATATCTCAAGTTTCAATATTTTATTTACCTCAACATCTTCTAGAGTTTTACAATATGTTATATATACTTAATTCCAAGAGTATATACCTTCTTATTGTGATCTTAAGTCATTTATAATAGAAAAACATCGTATTGACATTGTGTATCAGTGATACTACATGTAAAATAGCTTTCTCTAAGCAAAAATGAAGCACTTGTTCTTAATATTAATAGTTTAGCAATTAGTTGGAGGCATGTAACAATGAATTATGTAAGATTACTAACATTACAAACTTCAAATTGAGAATATATAATAAATGCATTACAATCATGTAGTATATGTATCAATTAGATATAAATAATAGCTAAATGGTCAACATGAAGGGGATATGATGTCATATAGCTCAAAAGATAATTTCCAAAAGTGTAGGGAATTTAGTCATAATTTTAGCTAGCAAATGTCTGCACACCGTGTACCCTGAGAAAAAGTAGCACGTAAGAAAATACTAATCCAATTACTCACCTCTTTGTCTCAACACTCGGGTCGAGTTTGTATTATTGTTAAATACTTTCTTTTTAAAAGTAAATACAAATTATAATTTGCATGACATCTCTACAGTTTGGTGCCATTATCTTTTTGGGCAATTACATTCGCACCAAATTTTATGTTAAATACCCCATATTATAATTAAAATGAACGTCTTCAATTTTTGCTCATTTTTGTGGTAATATCCCCCAGCTTTTATCACATTGTTATCCTCAATCTTCCATGAATTAAACCCCTATTTTGTTTAAATAAAAATCAATTTTTTTAGTATATTTGATTAAAGTTGATGAAATGTATAGTTGCAAAATTGATAAAAGTTATGGATTACATAAAATGTCTTATAGAAAATAAGTGTGGAAAAAAAAAATGGAAAATAGGACCAAACAAGGGGCTAACATATTTGTCTCTGATAACGTGTTCTGTATAAAAAAAATCTTTAGGAGGACGTAGAAAAAGACTAAAACAGCACAAAATCCCCTTACGATATGCTGTCGAAAACTCTATACCTTTTGAAAATAACACAAAGGGTCGTCCCTATTTGAAACCCTTAGTGTGAAATATTCCATGTCTTCATCTTTCGTTAGTTCTGTCGTTAAATCTCAATAAATAAAGAAAAAATGAAAGGAAAAAAATAGAAAGGGCAAACCCAATCATCTATTAGCATGGTGCGCAAGCTCCTCCCCTCCCCATCAATTAGAATTGGTGAAAAAGGTTCATGCAATCCGTTCTCAATAAAAAGATTGAAAATGATGAATATACCCTTTTATTTAAATAATACAAAAAGAAAAAAAAACTAATTTCAACTGTAGTCCCATATTTTTTCAAACAAATGCAAATAAATCTCAAATACACTGCACATAAAGACAAATTTATGTACGAGAATGCAATTTTGTTCACCTTCTTCCATCTTCATCCTCTCCCACTCCACCCAAACGCCTTCCCATAGCTGAAGCAACTTCACTAACCAATTCCACAAGCCATCGCCATTATATTGCCAAAGTCGTTGAACGCCACTCATCATCATCAAATTCGAAGTCCCATCCATAGCCTCACACCACTCCTGAACCGAATCGAACTGTTCTTCTTAAGTTAAATACTCGAATGGATATCTGAATCGAGAATCGACAGGTTTAATTCGGTTCTACACAAAAAATCGAAGAACCGAATAAGAATCGAATCTCTCTAATTTTTTTCTATTTTAAACAAAACCAAATTTTTTTATTTTTTTCTAAATAAATTTGCTAATTAATTAATTTAGCTCAAACCAAAAATATGATTTTCCTATTTCTAATTTAAAGCCCAAGTCCAACTTAATTAAATTGACCAAATATTTTATTCTACAGTAATGCTGTTACGGAGAAATCAAATTAGAAGCTCTGTAGCGCCTCTCTTCATTACTGTGAGATCGCCTACCACCATAGAGGTGCTCTACGCTCTCATAGTAGACCGCCTACCACAATGGGGTGCTCTACGTTTTCATGATAGACCGTCTACCACCATGGAGATGCTCTGCGCTCTCATGATAGACCACCTACCACCATGGGTTGCTTTGCGTACTCATGATAGACCACCTATCACCTATGAGGCCCTCAACGCTCACCTAGGCCGTCGACCACTACGCGGCCGTCGACCCCCATGAGGCCCTCTACGTTCACACAGGTAGCTACCACCGTGAGATCAATATTATGCTTAACCATACAAATGGCAATGCGTAGGACGGAAACCACCCAACAGCGAACATGGGCACAACCAACCGCTTGACGAGTGGGGGTCACCACGTTAGAACATGGAGGAAGTGGGAAAGTCTACATGGGACACGTGGCACTATTAACTATCGAACACGTGTATAGCAACATGTGCCTATAAATACCTCCAAGATGAGAAAGTTATGGATTCTTGGAACCCGAATTGATTGAACTCTCAATATACTTTCTTCCTACTTTTCATAAATACCTACTGATTCTCATGCCGAAGGTACAACGGGGGAGAAAGTCCCGACCTCGTTATGCAGGTAACGTCTATTGATCGGAGCAACCGGAACACCCCACCCGTCATCATTTTCGTGGAGGTAAATTTTGTGATTATTTCAATTACAATTAAACTCTATCCAACCCATGAAAAGATTACCGCTATCAAAATCAAATAAAAATTTCAATTAACATTTATCCTAATCAAACTCATAATTATCGTGACCAGGCCGAAGAGGAAATCGGGTTTTAGATTATATATTTCAAATTCATTTAAATTTCATTTAACCTTATATTCTTTTAATTGGATTTAACCTAATATGATTTTATCCAAAATAACTTTTTCTTGAATCAAAGACTTCTAGTTAATTACAATCTACACGATGAGTCCAATATCGATATACTTATACTCGCTCCATCAAAGTCTAATTATTTGGTCAAAATAAAATTGAATTTAATACTATTTCACTTTAGTACTCAACATTCCAATATTATCAAAATATGCTTAAGTCAAAATCATTACGAATAAATGATTATATAATATAAAATTTTGGGACCTTACCAAGACTTGTGGTTTCAATCTAAAATGACAATCTTATTAAGAGAAATAGTTCAAACTCTTATAAATCGATCAATATTTTCATTTTTATTTAATATGAGATTTTATCATTTCACTACCTCTCAAGATGCTGACTCGTTTGACCCGATCAATTTCATATTTTTGAGTTATTTCATTGTATCTAAGAGATGAATATTTCAAAAAAATTGTTTAATGTCAAAAGGTCCAAATTATTGTTAAAATCCATTAAGAATCGTGTCCAAATAATCAAAGATAACATCTAAATAAATAATGGTTTCAAAGAGTATTTTTTAAAAAATAATAATGGTAGGAATAGCTTCAAAGAGTATTTTTACATGCGGCCTTTATCGATTTCGTTGTCCAACTCGTGGAAGCCTCGACTGTTTACAGAGGTTGCCAAAACAAGCACGGAGCAGCCAACTAAGACTTGTTTGAGACCCAGAAAGCGAGTCCTCTGTCACCAGTCGTCAATCGGTGGGAGAGAGGGAGAGATGGTGAAGAGTGAGATAGTAATGGCGGCTGAGAAATTGGTGGAATCGGCGATGAAAGGGAACGATGCATCCCACGATGCTGCCCACGCGTTCAGAGTGAGAGACTTGGCTCTCTCTCTTGCCCTTGAAGAGGGCATCTCCTCTTCCTCCGATTCTATGCTCATTGTACGCCACTGTTAGACTTTTCCCTTTTTAGTAATTCGCTTTTTAATTTTTTTTCATATAGATACTGAATACAGAATACTGATGATGATATAAACCTGTCAGATATTTAATCAGTTTTTAGAAAGTTTTTTGGATTAAAAAAAAAAAGGAAGAAGATGTAAAATTTACTATGTTTGCGGTATGGTTTTGTCTTCATTTTCATGTTGCAGTCTCTGCAGCTGAATAAACAACACCTTCGGCATTATGTTTCCTTCTTTACCTTTTGTACATTGCGGTGGACTGGCAATAATTAGTTACACGTTAATTCGGAGATTTTCATTTATACTTGTTGCCTGTGATTCTATAGATGTATTAACTATTATCTGTTTTAGTTTTAGTTATAATTTTGTCTACAATCACATAACATGGAGTTTTTGAATGAATCAAGCACCATTGCAATAAGAAATTTATTCATATAATTCAAAAAAAAAATAAAAAAATTCATATGCAATGGCCTACTCACTTATGTATGTGTATTATAGTGCTCTTTATGCCACAGAAGAAGATATTGTGGATTTACTATTCTTCCTGTCTTTATAATGTATGAATTGAAATTTTATCTTCTTTTTCAGGTGGAGTTAGCTGCTCTTCTACATGACATTGGTATAATTTGATTGGTGTTTAGATTTCATATTCAAGTATTTCATTTTTTATGTGAATTTAGTAAGTTTTGGAGGATGTATTGTTGTATATTCGAGGTCATTGTTTTGATTGATGTAGCGAGAAAGGTGATATGAAGATTTGAATTGTTAGTTAACTATTTGGATAGGTTCAAGTATGAAAAAGGAAGGTGAAGAAGCAGATGGGAATGACATGTAGGGATTAAGAATTTTTTTTGATGAAATTATGTTTTAGAACAAAGTGATTCCAGGTCCTATAGAGAATTAATGGGTGTTAACCACAGTACTATCTCTCCCATAGAACAAACTCCACCCTCGCATGTGGAAATTCTGGTGATATTTCTCAACTCAGTGCTATCAGTCGGTGCTTATCTTTTATAGCATAATAAACACCTCTTTTTCTTTCTAATATTTTTTTATGCACTTGTATCACATTTTATCTTTCAGCATCTGGCTATTCCTTTTTGTTTATTAAATTTTTTTGCTGCTCATCTTTATATACTGATGATATTTTATTGGATGATTAAATGCAGGGGACTACAAATATATAAGGTTGGTATTTCTTCACATTATTTGTTATGATATTCTTTTTGTTTTATCGTATCTACTTTTACTCCGCACCAAAAACCTTTTTTACCTACTGATCTCTATGAAGTAGTAAGTTTGCTAAGATTCTCATGGTAGCATTTAATTATAACATTGGAAGGATTCCTGTTTGATAGCACAAAACATTCAAATGTGATGCTGCAATTATGTACTAGATTAAATTAGGTGCATGGAATTGATGGAAATATATGATCATGATGATTGCAATGCCCCCCTTTGCAAGCTTTCTAGCCACAGCACGCAAAGCCTGTATTTGTGTTTATATTGCACTATAATTGATGTAGATATCAATTGCATGCTTCGTATAGAAGAAAAATCAGGTCATTTTGAAATTTTAACATGTCAAATGTGCTGTTTCCAATCTTTAATTTTGTACAATTTCAGTTTTATGCTCACTCTTCTGATCCTTGCTCCCATCTTCCACTTTCATTTCTTGATCTTCCTTTTTCAATCCTATTTCTATTTATTATTTAATACTGTGACATCTAGAGATCCATCAGAGGGAAAACTCGTGGAGGACTTTCTTGACAAGGAGGGCTTGGAAGAGAGTAAGAAGATGAGGATATTAAGCATCATAAAGGGAATGGGTAAGCTTTTATTTTCTAGTTATAACCTATAAAATGGTATTGCTAATTTAACTTTGATGTTTGCTATAGGTACATGGTTCATAAAATGCTGTTTTTCTTACCATGTCTGACTAGTTTGTACTACATCATTCGAATTCTTTCTACACAAACTCTGATATATAAGTTGTTATGTATAGTTGGAACGACGGTAATTAGATATCTCTCTCTGTTGTAACGCTTAGTTAAACATTCTTATTTATTATGCTTGTGTTTCTTGGTTGTTATATTATCCTAATAAGTTGTCTCAGACCCAATGGACTGATCATCTAATAGCTGACAAGTCTTACCGCGCTAGCCATACTACAAGACCACTTACCATTACGGCGTATAGAAATGTGGACAATTATGAGCTAATTGTATTTCAAACACGAGCTAAATAAATGAGATATCCAAATGTGTTTGTCACCATAATGGAGAAGTATTCAATTTGTATGATAGTCATATTTTTGAACACTTCCCCTCGTTACTCATGATCTGAAGTGTGGTATGAGCATCTTTATATGACTTAGTTCTTCATTGGTATAAATTTTCCATAATTTAATCTAATATTCTCAAGTCAAGCATTAGCTATTATGTGCATTGGCCTTTTGGCAAATGGGATGATGCATTTTAAGCTTTTTGTTATTGTCTTGTTTCTTGAACATTCTTTGAAGGCTTTCTTCCCCTCTAGTTCATGCTCATTCAATTTCTTCGCTTTTTCCCTCTTTCTTTTCCCTTCTTTCTTTCTTTCCCTGAAGTAAATTTGTTATTGCTCTATTTATTGTTTGCTTTTGCACATTTTTCATTTTGAAATTGAAAATTACAATTGAGAAGTTGTTTTGGGGTTTTACTTCTCAAGTTGCTGTAATACAAAATAATGAAATTTGTTTTGTATTAAAAACTTTATTCTTGCCAAAACCAATTTAATAAGATAACCGAGAAACATGCTTCCCTTGAATTTTCATACTTAGAATGTTTGCAATAACCTGAATACTGTTAGCATTAAGCATTATCTTCCCAAGAGATTTTTCAATGTCTTTGAAGCTGCATTTATACCCTTGTTAATGCCTCTTTGCTTCTCTTTAGACTGCATGAGGCTCTGTATTGGTATATAAGCTAAAGGGGAGCCAGGAAATTGGCAGATACCTCAGTAAACTAAGTTTGAATAGGAACAAAAAAGACTTCAGTATGATGTTTAGTGCTCAATTCGCGTGGACTACTGCTACAATTTTCTTCTGTATATTGACTATTACCTGTGAGCTCACATCCTATATGTGAAGCTTAAAATTTTCCGTCGAATCAAATTGGAACGACAATTTGATATGATTTTTCTATTTTTTCCACCATTCTGATTGTTGGTATTTTTTATGTCCTTCATTTGATTTTCGGCATTTTTAATTATTCTCTCTTCTTAAAAACCTTTCGATTACTGTCTTTACCTGAAAAATACCTGGAACTCCTTTATATGCAGTATATATATTTTTTGGTGGCATGGCTTTCAACAATTCCATTCTTCAATCTAGATTTTTACATATCCAGGTTTCAAAGAGGAGATTGGGGGAATTAAGGTGGGTAATTATTCCTCAGAATTTGGAGTGGTACAAGATGCTGATCGTCTTGACGCAATTGGTGCTATAGGTAACATTCATCCTGGACCAATTTCAATGTTTTCACTCGCAATATTTGTGTACATGGCAAGTGGTTTTCTGTTGTAGATGTTTCAGTTACGTTATTTATTCTAGTAATGCTTGCACTTAAGGGTCACTTTGTATTTCTTCCAACTGATATTGTTCCTGTGGAGTTATGAAGGGTAGGTCCTCTCCTTCCCAACTCACTTAAGTTGAAGACTTTCTCCTGTTTCACTGCTGATACTTGTAGTTAAAAATAATTGATTTATGTAAACTTTGAAAATTGAAGTGAAAGTCAAATTGTTGAGCTCGAAATCATCAAAGAAATGTTGACCCGACAGTCTTGAAAAATAACTCTGGAAATGCCGAAGATAACCTGCAAAAAAGGCTGAGATGAATTCCTGCAGGACACTAAGCTTCACTGTGGAAAGAATTTATAAATGGTTTAATTTATAAATATATAAAACTGAGTGGTGGATAAGTCAATAGTACTTGTGGTCCATTTGAATGTCTAGTTGAAAATGAAGTTTGACCATTTATAAAGTTTGCCAAACAGACGCTTATATGACCTTAGAATTTATGGTTATATATCAAGAGATGTAGTTGATTAGAGACTGTAGGAGAGTGAATTTGGTATGTAAAATTGAGCGTAGCTGAAGTGTTTTTAGAACACACTATTTATAGTTGTGGGACGTCCCATATAATCCTCTTTGGACTAGACTGATAGTCTTGTTTGAATTCTATAAATATTTTGATTAGAAAAAGGACATCTTGCTGACAGCTTATCTACGGGGTTGTAGATTTGTTCTGTAATTTTATCCACGACACAAATGATCTATTTGAGATCCACAGTAGTGAAACCAGCTCATAATTGCGCATTGTGAATAACATTGTTTTCAGGAATTGCTCGTTGCTTTACATTTGGTGGAAGCAGGAACAGAGTGCTCCATGACCCCAGCATCAAACCTCGATCAGATCTGTCCAAGGATAAATACATTAACAAAGATGAGCAGACAACTTTGAATCATTTCCATGAGAAGCTTCTCAAGTTGAAGGATTTGATGAAAACTCAGGTTAGTGCGCCTTCATCTCCAATCTGTTTTTCACTATATAAATATGCATTTCGATATCTGCATATAGGCATTGCTCTTTCAAATTTCCAATGAACCCCATCTTTCCAAATTTTAACATGTTTGAAGTTTTTCAAAAAGCAATTTTTTTTCTTCTGATTATTAGTATAAAATATTATCTTTTTAAGCTTTAGCCAAACATACTGAATTTGTAATGTCAGGCTGGTCAGAGAAGGGCAGAAAAAAGGCACAAATTCATGGTAGAGTTTCTTGAAGAGTTCTATGAAGAATGGGATGGAAGAGCTTGAATAAGGAACTTTTAAACTGTCAAAAATTTTAACTACTACGGCTTTTGCTTCGACTTAGTCTATTGGTCGAAATGTACCAATTATTCCTTAACATTGTGCTTCGATATGCTAGGAGGAATGAGGAAATTCACGAGAACTTGTCATATACCATTCCCGTAAGTGGAGTATTTCACCGTAAAAAGTAGTATGTGCGTTTCTTTGCTCCTCAATATCAACAAAACCAATGGAAGGTTGGAATTCTGTTGAATATTTATTATATATTGTTGCAATTTACTCAAGATCGATATGACATGTAAGTCGGTCAAACATCATATTTATTTACACATTCCATATTACCTACAACTTTTGTTATATACATTTCATGCAACACAGTGCTTATAGTCTACAAAAAACTTCACCAATGCGATTTGAAATGGGCAGAGCATGATGACTCTAGCTATTCAACTCCGTTGGTTAGCCCTATTATCCTCTCGTCTCATGTGCTCATTCAACTAAGCATACTTTAACATTTAGTTAAATTTTCTCATTGTCGTGTTAGATATCATGTATTGTGATTTGTAAGCATACGTAACATGTAGCATCGCTAATGATGAACAAAATATAAAAAAATAAAAAAAAATACTAACAATTTCCTTACGAATTTCGAAGAAAATTAATTAATTAGGTGCTTCGTTGTAAATGTTATGAAGTGGACGAAAAGGGTGGGGCAGTACTTTGACTGAGCAAGTCCGTCCGTCCGTCCATCCGTCCTTGTCCCGTAATTTTCTATTTGCTAGCGTGTCGCTTTTATTATTTAATTAATACTTTTTCAACATTTTTGGTCCAATGCCAATTGACAATTCATGTCCAAATTGGTGAATTATTGAAAAGAGCCATGTTTGTAACAGCCAAAATTGAAAAATGACTAATTCAAATATAACACCTTCTTTGCATCTAGAATGTCTAATTTTGTTAAATATAGTCCTTATTTGTCCTGTGTCGTCTTCTTTCTCACTCTTCATCTAGATTTGGTTGTGATCCTATCGTCTTTCTCCTTCCCGACCTTAACTTAGACAATTGAACGATTACAGTCATCTAGATTTGGTTGTGATCCTATAGTCTTTCTCCTTCCCGACCTTAACTTGGACAATTGAACGATTACGGTGGGACGCAATAGGAAGGAAATGAAGAAGGGGTGAATAAAAAGAATCTTGTGAAAGATTGTAGGTGAAAAGGACATTTTTGAAATATCAATCAAAAGAATGTCATTTGAGGTTGTTTTCTATTTTGTCTCTCCAACTTGGTCTTTAAACAAATTCCTCAGGAAAATTTCACCTGCGGCACTAAAAATTTAGCAAAACTTCAATTGAGTCACTAAATTTATTTATTTTTTAATTTGATCACTAAACTTCATTTCAATATCATTTAACTTCAATTTTAGTTTCTAATTTTACATCTCTGTGAACTGTCATTTCCAAATTGATGAAAATTACTTAATTAGTAGTCACACCACCTAAAAGATAAGTTAAGCAATTAATGTGTTTGGGGAATGATATGCGACGAATGACGATAGAGTTGTCATATTTGAAACAAAAGTAAGTTTAGTGGTCCAACTGAGGCAAATCAGAATTTAGTAAAACTAATTGTGCTTTCATAAAAGTTCAGTGACCTGGATGAAATTTACCTAAATCTTTTTGATCATTGTATATTTATACTCCGGCATTTAATCCCATTTTCAAGACAATTTCCTATCCTACATCATTCCATTCACATATAAATCAGAAGCTTCCATGACTTATTTGTGCATTTTCCGCTTAAGATTCTAATGACAACGCATCAATTTCCATAAAACAAGGTCGTCAGTCAATATTCAAAGCCGTGTTAGACGTTGTAACCAAAGACAAAGACTCAATGACCTCAACAATTTATATATCAATTCCTTTACCATAAAGTAGTAAAAACATTTTGCTACAATCTTGATCAGTACTCGGCCATGGCTGAGAAGAGAGAGCAAGTGAAGCCGTTAGCCCCGGCTGCTCTCCAGATCAAGATCGACGGAGATGAAGACATATCAACGGAGGTCAGACACCATCACCACCGAAAATGCCTCAAATGCTGTGGCTGCATAACTGCCATCTTCTTAATTCTAGTTATGATCATATTAGTACTCGTGTTCACCGTTTTTCGAGTAAAGGATCCCGTGATCAAGATGAACAGTGTAAAGATTCAAGGATTTGATGCACTTCTGAGGACAAATAATCCCCGTCCAGCTATTAACCTAACAGTTGAAGCTGATGTTTCTGTCAAGAACCCTAATGTGGCCTCCTTCAAGTTTAGCAACGCCACAACTAGTTTATACTACGACGGTGGTGTCATCGGTGAAGCTCGAATTCCGGCCAGCCAAGCCAAGGCGCGACGAACTCTTGATCTGAATGTTTCTATTGATGTTATGGTGGACAAAATATTGCTTGTACCAAGAATAGGAAGTGACTTGGCTTCAGGGACACTGCCTATAAGCAGCTATACAAAAATAAGTGGAAAGGTGAAGATTATCAACATTATAAAAAAGCATGTCGTGGTGCAAATGAATTGCACAATGACTGTTAATATAAATAGCGAAACCATTGAAGATCAGAAGTGCAAGAGGCGAATATCTCTATAACATAGACCATTTGCGTACTTTACTGGGATTTTTCAAGTAATAGGGAAAGTTGTGAACGGTGTGTATGCATATGTATACCATAATTTACCTGTGGAGTAATGCTATGTAGCGTCGCTTGTGTTTAACATCAGTTTACGTGGCAACAATGTATTGACTTTAATGTCATGTATACTCGTACTAAACATAAGTAATGCTATTTGGCATTATTCTTTACATCTACTAAAAGGAGGTGTAAACATCAGTAGAAAATTATTTTCGCAATAAGAAAGATTGATAAAGGATATTGTAAGATTACCCCAATAATAAGAGCAAAAGTTTTTTATTTAATTTCTTTGGCATGCTTATTATTTGTTTTTGATAAAGGAAATGGACACTTATTTCTTCTGTATATCTTTTTTCTATGTAGGACTGTACAATTTCTTCTTGCTATCTTAGTTTCCCTATTTTCACCTTATTGTGAGAGTAGAGGATTTCAAGGTACAAAAACACGTCGACCAAGTGTGTGCTCTTACTTTTCTGCTTCCTTCTCCAAGCTCAAGTTATGGAAGAAGGTATCCGGGGAAACTGGCCTTATTCGACTGTCTTCTAGAAGTGCTCTTTATGAAATTCAAATTTGGTTGAGCCCTTTTGATTATAGTTATAGCAGAGCTGGCTGAGTTCTTTTGCCAAAACTGGTGGCGTGCCCCCACAGGCAACAATAGAAAACTCCTGCTCCAAAATACCAAATCCATGATTTTTGTTTTTTTTTTTTTAAAAATTAACAATGAAGGGAAGAGTTGATGTTATTTCACCAGTGGAATGTGTACCAACCTATCCTTGCATTAGCATGCTCGGTACCAATTTTTTTCAAAACTTTTTTCCAGTTAGGCCTTGCAAAATGTGTTCTAACCTTGCTAGAATCAGCCGTAAAGTTCATACATCAGGTTAATTTTTTTTTTTTTTTAAATAGCATTTTGGTACACGATATTGGACAAGATTAAACACGATAATGTGAGATTTTAAACAAAGGTCCCAAGGGACCATTTAAGTATTCTTTTCCAAAGCCATATCTAAGAGTAACGGTTCCTCGGACATGTTCTTAATCTACATAAATAACGCTAACTCTTGGTGCTGTTCATCTTGGACACATGTCGCGATTCCCAATCGTCAACCATTACGACATCGTTTGAGATTTTCCCATTTCTTTTCGTGTTGCCCGTTTTCATTTCATTCTCCAAACCCTCAATTTGCCTTCCCAATCCAGTAATGAAACCATTAAATCGAAGCAAGCTGAAGCGACGAGACTCAATAGAAACTCCCAAAACCTTTTGAACTTCCCTTTCCCTTCTCCTCCAGCCATCTCGGAGATTTGAGTTCCTGAAACCCTAGCAATACTACCACCAAGTTGGTTTAAGGATATTAAATCAGCTTGTTTCTTTGATGACTCAGGTTGGAATCTTTCAACATTTGTCCAAGTTTTTTGTTAGTTTGAAGAAACCAAAGTTCAAAGAGGAACTGTAAACGGGAAGATTTGTAGAACTCTCTTTTTGCTTTAGCATCACATTTTATGGAATCACAATTTTGCACTGTCACCTAATATTTAGTGTTGAGCAAATTAATGTTTCTTATATTTAATCTAGAATCTAAAGAACAACACATGTTCTTTTTTTTTTTTAACCAACTTATGAATATCTGTCATATTTACAAATTAATTTCTTGAAAATTTACATATGCTTATTTTAATATTAATCATCTAACGTGCAACGCGCGTTCACCCTAGTACCCGATACAATATCATCCCCATTTTTAGCATGGTTAAGCGCCTGGCCATGGTGATGAGAGCTGAACGTGCATCCCCTTCATCACATGCACTATTGAAGTATAGTTATGCAACTCAACAACGCCCTAAAAGTACATAATACTAAATGAAATAAGAAAATAATTAATAATTGAGACAAACTATAAACTGTTATTTGGTATGTTACCCTTTGATATAGTTCAGCGACTTCATTCGTAGTAGCGCCTTTGAAACAATCAAGTGACCATTGCTCCATTGTTACCCAATATAATTAGGCTTCAGTTATCCTAAGAATTTTCTTGCATTTTGGAAAAACTTTGCTACGAGAGGAAGAGTTATCAGAGCCAACACTCTGACCTGAATGCCTACTTGAACCTGAAATTGAATCCTAAGAGAATTAAGATATTCACCTGCTAAAGCACTAGCGAACCATTGGAAATTTATATAGCATGCTCACGAAAAATATATTTACAATGTTGGTATCATACATGCCCCAAATACACCAAGTAATTACAGGAATAAAAGAACACGAAATTTGTCGCCCATAAGCTCAGATGTTCACCCAAATTAGGGCTAATCACCCGTTAAGCATACACCGAAATGATTATCGCTCCAATCCACTAGAAACCAACAATAATCAATACAAGTTTCACAATACAGATATCTACAAAAGGATTATGCCCCCAGACCCAAAAGTTCTATAAAAAAACCCTCGAATGATTACACTAAATAACCAAAGGTTACTACTCAAAATAGAGAACAAATTCACCACAATCACACATTAATCAACACTGGATCTCACTAAAAATATCTAGAATAGGAGATTATAAGGTGAAAACCAAAGGTTTATAGAGAGAATATACAGAGAACGGAATAGAGAAAACCCTAAGAATAATCTCGAAGCAGCCGAGTAGAATGAAAAGTCAAGCCAATAATACAAACAATCAGAAGCATCCAACGGTCACAGCCATTCCACATGGCATCATCTCAGCCTTCAAAGTAAACAACTAAAGTCGCACTTCAATTAAAAATGCAAGAATACACAATGAAATGGGTTGTCGGGTTGCATTCAAAATTGGGCTGANACAAGGGCTGTCAAACAGGGCCTAAGAATAATCTCGAAGCAGCCGAGTAGAATGAAAAGTCAAGCCAATAATACAAACAATCAGAAGCATCCAACGGTCACAGCCATTCCACATGGCATCATCTCAGCCTTCAAAGTAAACAACTAATGTCGCACTTCAATTAAAAATGCAAGAATACACAATGAAATGGGTTGTCGGGTTGCATTCAAAATTGGGCTGACTCAACGGGATTTGGGCTGTATCATAGGGCTTTAATTGAATTATTAGTTTGGGCTAAATCATTTGGGCCCAAAATTATTAAGCAACCAATGTTTAACATACAAGGTTATAAAGAGAACACGGGGAAAAGAATGGACGCATACATTCGTTAGGGAAAAAGTTAAAAGTGTGCCTTTATTTCGCCATTTCATTAGCTCCAAGTAGCATGATCTGAGAATGCCCTCTTAATATCGTGTATCCAGTCACCTAACTTCCAAAATTATAATCCCCACCCGCACCTAATTTAAGATCTCTCGTTTCCAAATAGTGTTCTCGTATATTGTCATTCATATTTTGACACCCCATTACATCACTTTGGAATAATGAATCGCAACACACCACACACTATAATAACATCTCATTAGAAATGATATGTTGCTATTTACTAATTCAGCACTTGTTTGTGACTCATTTTGAGAGAAAAAATAGTTTTTTAATAGTGATTTTTGGAGAATATGTGATTAAAAATTAAAAAAAGGTTTTCGATTTACGTATATATTATTTTATTGAAAAATGTATGATTGAAAATGAATTTTGAAAAAAATGGAGCTTAAACATCTACTTGATATAGTAATGTGTTGAAATATGACTGCCATTTAGAGTTTATAGATCTCACCTAGTCGACCTCCCCACGCTGATTGTTTCTTCTGTTGACTTGAAGTTTAGAAAGATTAAACACTTGTTTGATCGTCATTTTTTTCTCATTATAATGAAAAATATTAACTTTGCAATTCAAAAAAGCAACTCTAACGATCATATTTATGGGGGAAAATGGGGATCAAACAAATATAAAGACACGTGGTTATTACTATGCCTCCTATTTCAAAATGGCAGACAATATAAACTGTGACACTCCCATTACTTTTCTTTTCTTTTTCTTGTATTTTTAAAGAAATATTTGGTGAGAAATGCAATTTTTGTTGTAAATTGAAAATTTTCATTTCTTTTCATTTTTTTTAAACTTTATGCATTTTGGTTTGTTGGTAGAATTTTTGGGTTTGGAAAGAAGATTAGCATGGCCCTTAAAAAAGCATGGCAAGCACAAATTGAGCCATATTTGATGGGATTAAAATTAGATTTTGATAAAAATTGTTGAAATATATGGTTGANATTTTGATAAAAATTGTTGAAATATATGGTTGAAAAGTTGTGGGACTCATGAAATATCCGATTAAAATTAATTGTTGACTTTAACTTAAATTAAGCATTTGTTTAGTAGAGATTAAAATTAAATTTTAATAGATTTTGATAAAAGTTGATGAAACGTATGGTTAAAAAGTCGTGTGTCCCATAAAATATGTGGTTAAAATAATTGTTGACTATGATTTAGATTAAAATGTGAATTTTAATTTTTACCATACAAGGGCTAAAATTTGAATTTTAATCGGTGCTAAACAGTGCTGAGAAATGGTCCAAATTTTTATGTGATAATTATTTTATGTGCTTTTTCTGAATAATAAGCAATTTTACATAAAAAATCTTAAATATACATAATTTGTGAATAACGTAAGTTAGGACATTATGTTACTGTTTGGTGATGATTGAAATAAGATATTTATTATATTTTGATAAAAGTAGATGAAATGTATGGTCGAAAAGTTGTAGAATACATTAAATATATGATTGAAATTGATTGTCAACTCTGATTTAAACTAAAATCTAGATTTAAAGGTATTAATTAATGAACAACCATCAAACTCTTAAACATGAACATAGTTTAGTAAATCTTAATTTTTTATTCAAACACGGCCAAACATATTATTCATATCAAGCCTCGTTGGTCCCTATTACTTGTCATTATTGAAGATTATAATTTTTGATATAGTATTTTTTGAAAAATGTGTGGTTAAAAATAAAAAAATTTATTTTGAATTTATGTGCAATATTATTTTATTGAAAAATATATGGTTGATAAGAAAAAAGAAAAATGGATTATAATTTTAATGAGGCCAATTATTTCTCCTTTTTATGTTGTAGGTGTTGGTGTCTTTGTCCCTGTTTGGTAGGAGTTTTTGAGAATAAATTTTATAAAAAATAATTTATTTTTTGAAATATATAGTTAAAAAGTAGAAAAAAATTTATGATAATAAGGTTGTGTTTGATAAGTCAAGATTTCCGTGGAACTTGAAAAATGAATTCGATTTTCTTGGTTTTGGCTTGTTTGATTGCCACAATTTTCTAGGCAAATTTCTTTTCTCCCCCCAACCCTCATGCACCATTTTTCTTTGATTTGGTGGAATTAGATTTCCCATCTTTTTGGTGGGAAATCTGAATTCTAGCTTTTTATTTTTATTTATTTATTTATTTTTGTTTAGTAATGGAAACAAATTTTATAAGTAATTGTAAAATTTTGTTCACCTTAATGTTATGTTTCCATGTAAAATAAAGTCAAACGAACACTAAATTTTGATAAAAAAATAAATTTTTAAGAATTTTTTTTTTTACTTTTTGGTAATGAAAACAAATTTTATAACAAAT